CTTTTCTGTGCTGTGAACTTTTAGCCGATAAAATTTTCAAGGAATTGAATACTAGAAACGCGGGACGACGACTTGGTAATTAAGTCATCATCAAACATTGAGCAATGTTTCCGATAATCCTATAATAGAGGAATCTTTCGAAAAAAGGCCTTAGCAGTTGATAGCAGTTGCTCCGGTTTTAATAAGTTTGATGGGGAAGTTCGAATTTATGAAAACTTTGCGATATTTGTACTATTAATGTGTCTAGAAAATTCGTGACCAAAATTTGTTCTTGAATAATGAGGATAATAATATATTCAGGAGATTTAATGAATATATTTCTTTTACACTTAAACGTTATTCGTGACTTGTCTGAGGGGTTTTTTTTTGTCAAAGAAGGTGCCTTAGGAGAGATGCCATAGTCTAATCCAAGATTAAATAAATTCTGTTTCTAAATTTTTTGTATCGATATTCATTTATTTTCTTAAAATCCCGTGGTATCGGTAATTTACCGGTATTTCTGATACTGAACCTCACAGTACCGAAATACCGGTACTCACAAAAAGGATTCGGTACTGAAAACCCTAGGTACACCCAACTTTTCCAGAGTTGTGCTGTAAAAGAGCTGAAAAAAAGCTGCAAATACAGCTACTAGCAGAAATTAGCCAAATATTTTTGGAGAGCGTTTACTCAACTTTTCAACAACCATTATTCCATTTGTCAGTCGCACTGAATAGCAGCAGCCAATAAACGCTACCCGGGCAAAGTCGGTTAACAAAATGCAAGCAAATCGATATTAAAGTTTGCAGTTCCTATCATAATGGAAACTAATTTTGATTTCAACTGTCGCGGAAGAAGTCTGATATCATATCGTGCTTTCATTATACAGCCAAGACTTTTTAAATGAAAGCAACTTAACTTCAAATCGTACTGTTAACGTCTTGTTGAAAGTTTAATATAAGTTCATCTGTCGTTGAACTAACAATTATTGTCAATTCGTTTTGTTTAACACATTTTAGGTCATTCGTGACTTGTCCGGGTGAGATTTGAACTCAAGTCTTTTAGCGTGAGAAGCATGGATGCCAGCAATTTAAACCAGACCTATTAGTATTCAGTTAAATATTATGAATGCAAAATCAGTAATCTAATTGATTTCATTGAAAGCAGGATCAGTTTTCCGTTTGATTCCACAATGTAAAAGTTTGCTCTCATTTTTGCTGTGTTAACCGTTAAGTCAACCAAAATGAGATCAACTGGAGTATTCAAAATAAGTTACATCATAACAGTACATTTTGATTTCAATTTGATCTCCAGCTTTGCTCGGGTTATGTCACTGCTATGCAAATATTAATCAACTTTTAACTTGTAGCTGCAAAACAACGCTAATAAAGTGAATATATTACTCATTTGTTGGCTTCTACAAATCAAACCACTCTGGCTGAATAACATAAACATCAAAAGTGCTATTTCAAAAACGAAACAAATTTTACTCAGCTAATAAACTGCGTTAGCGCTACTTTGGAAGCATTTTTAAAGTCATCTGGGTTTAATTTTAGACTTGTGCAGTTTTACAGCTTTTACTCCGCTCCTTTACCAAGCTGAACTATCTTGTTGAGAAAAGTGATTGTGTACTATTATAAAGGATTTACTCAGCGATCTTGTTGTAGAAGGTCATGTAGATTTGTTTACGTCAGTTCAAAGTGTTGGCGTAGCGAAGTTGATAGTGTCAAGGTTTGCCAATGCGGTCGTCTTGACTTCGAGTCCTTATAACTAATTTCAAGTAATTTGATTCGTAACTAAATGAAATCAATAAATTTCACCCATCAAAAAAAGTAAACAATATTTAACCCAGCTTCAGGATCAAGCTGTGCAGCGATTATTGGATAATGGGGAAAAGGTTGAATAAGCGCTTTCAAGTTCACACACAACTAAACAGCAGAATAACAGCTGTAGAGAAGCGTAAATATATAATAAGATATTGCCCACAACCACCCCAAAAGCCATAAGTAGCTGACTAAGCTCGCCAGATTTGCTTGAATAGAGATTGAGTATAGGTTACCTCATATCATATAGCATTTGAATACAGCTTGAGGCTGTATAAATGAAATCAACAAAGCGTTTACACTATGAAAATTGTTAGTTGGGCGGTTTTGTCCATTCGACCTTTTGATCTTAATTCGAGTTAAAGGAAATTTCGACCTTTTGTCCCTTTGTGTTTCATTCTTCTCGATCTTTAGTACATTTCAATATTTTGTCTATCCGGCTTTGTGTCTCTTTTAGTTTCATCCGATCATTTGTCCTTCGATCTTTTATCATAAGGAGGAATGATAGTCTACTTGATTTTCATTTTGAATAACTGATAACATTTTGCGCTCACTTGAGCTTTTGGGAGGCAAGTCATTCACGAGTTCAAATCTCACCCCCGGACAAGTCACGAATCACCCAAGAGCGTTAAAGTGACTATAATTTAAAAAAAAAATGTGTAGGAAAAGATTGAATGAACCAAAACCCTTCGAAGTAAAATGATAAAAGTATTCATTTGAACGAATTTATACAAGTTAATACAACGTAAGCTTCAGACAAATTTTACAAAACTTCATATATCTGTTGGTTGATACAACTTTTATGTCTTAAGCAAATTTTCATAAAATTTGACGCTCCACAACTTTGCCGAAAACAGCAAACCTCTAGCGTTCGAAATAAAAAAAAAAAAGGTTTGCATCGCTGCGTCATCTTTGCGGCAAAAACTTGAACTATTTTTATCCATCAAATTACAGTCCTAACTAAGTCATAAATCTTTGCTCAAAATGTCTACCCAATTGGATGTAATCCCAGGGCGTTATTATTTTTTTCCTACTAGATTTCATTCCCGGCCCACTATGCAGTGAATGCTCGAATTCAGAAGAGTCAACTTTCCTATTGAATTCTGGTTATCTAAGAAAAAAAGGACAAAAACCCCAGAATCAAACATGCCCGAGTGTTTGTTCTTGCCAACCGTAATATATTGTATGCCAAACGCTTAGGAATAAACAAGCAACTGCGGATGTCGTCTTATAACTGAATCGCAAAATCCCATGTAAATAATGACAGCACAGCTTTCCATCATCATTCATAATAACTTCACCCAGAGTAGGAAAAGCCTCACCCAAAGGAGACTGAACAAAGACACATCGCTTGCCTCCGAGCGAATTCAGAGCATTTCAATTGTAAAGATACACGTACAAGGAATGGGATATTTTCTTCCATCTTTGGAGGATAAAAACCGTATGCATACGAGTTATGTTTACAAGTGAAGGAAATGGATATTTTTTCCCGGAGAAGAAAACAGATTTATTTTTCAATCAAATATGACAGCAATAAGTGGTGTATGAACTTAGTTCGATTTTGGATTTGTCTTATTCAGGGGAAAAACGCTCAATTATGCTTAGCAACTCAGGTTTATTACTCTACTTGCGTTTTTTTTTAGAGGAGCGTAGCGACGGGAAAGCTTCTAAAAAAAATTCCAAAAGAAGCTTCTTTGAGAAGCATTTAGAGGCTTTTAGACGAGTCGATTCTAGTCGCAACGCTCCACTGGGAAGGGTAATAAACCGGAGTAGCTACGCGATTCAATTCAACAGCTACCGTAACTCGCTCCACCCAACAAAAACCCCCACGGTAAACACCTCCGTCGGACTACCGTTGCACATTTACCTGCCATCAATTACCGCGATCAGATCAGCAGAACCGATAGTAAACCTTCTTCGTGCAATCAACCACCCAAATTCTCAAACAAATCGTTTTCGACACCCTATCCACAGCAGTCACGAAAAGCCATTTCGTCGCGTTCATTTCTTTCCGGCAAAGACTGCGATGCGACACGAAATCCGTGACAACCGTTGCTGCTGCTGCTGCTGCAGCAATCATCGATCATCGCCGTTGTAGAACGGCGCGATTTCTACGAAAACGTGTAATGAATTTGATCGCCCGTTATCAATCAATCGAGAACTTTCGTGCGCGGAATAGATACCATCTATCTACAGGTTCACCTGGTTTGGTGGAGGAAACTTTGTCCCCACTGACTGCGACTGTCACGCGACGAGCGTAAATCAATCGACGAATGGGAAGGGGGTGACCGGTCCGGGGTGATGTCGAGCTAAAAGAAAGAAGAAATTGAACCCGCCTGGAAGGTAGGCAGCGCCAAGGCGCTGCTAAATTGACGGCCGTCAAAACTTAAGCGAAGTTAGCGAATCGAATCAAATCAAATTTTCAGTGGCGATTTATATTGGGAGCATATGTCGTGTTCAATTTGTCTAATGATTTTGGATAACTTTGGGTGGCTGGAAAAAAAAAGTTTCCAGCAGATTTGTCATTGAAAAACGCGTTAAATTTGCTGAATGGCTTGGTTTTCATTGGAAATGTTCATGCTACCCCTTATCATGTTGGAAGAACGTTTATAAATCCCATATGCAACAAGGTCTTGTTAAAGTAAACGTTGCAGCAACTCATACATAGATGGTGATGTCGCTTGAGATCGAGCTTATTTGTTTTAGTCAAATAGCTTATGCAATTCTAATTGTAGTTGCATGATTAAAGTAGTAAATATTCTAGCATTGCTGGTATTTATTCAGTCGTAGATTTCCATCCTTTAGTTGACTTTCCTTTTCTGCTAACACAACCTTTCGCTTCTTCCCATTGTTGTAGATTTGACTGTTATCTCTTTATTTACCCCCTCTCAAACTCCGCTCTATAGTAATTACGTATCAACCAGTATATTTCATGTAGCAATTCCGTAATTTCTTTAATTCAAGCAAAAAAAAACTATCACGATCACTGTAATTATATACCTCTCGATTTTTTTTCTACTCCCTTAATCTAGGATCTAAGAATCACCCTCGTTTATTTTCCTTCCGACGTTAGAAGAAGTTGTTCGACGAAGAAACTAATCTTCGGTGTTTTCTGATCTTTTCTTTTTTCCCTCCGTCTCACGAACTTCAACAAATCAAACAACGATTGAATGTGGGAACGACGATGACGACGAGTAGCAGCGGTTTGCGTGCCCTGGCCAGCCGAAGGTAAGAGCTTTTACAGCAACAACCCCCCTCTCAGGCGACGGTTTCTCTAGATTAAGGATGTAGGTTTTTCGCTTTTGTTTTTCTCTCAATGTCGTTGATGAAAAGTAAATAGTAGTATCATGTGCAGGTACTAAAGTTCCGGTTACGGTCGGTGCGATCAATAATAGATTAGGAGTATGTGTAAGCAAAAAATCTGTAGGTGAAAGTTTCATTCTGTTCCCTCTGTGATCACCTCAAACGGAGCGAGTAGTTTTAAGCAGAATAAAAACAAATAGAAGTTAGGCCAAAACTGGTTCAACCATAGGAAGTAATTTTCCGTTCGATCCCGCGACGACGACGACCGATTTGAAGTAAAGCTTTGCAATTGTAAATAAGGTCAAAACGAAAAAAAAAAAACAGATGAGATTTAGTAGCTACGTAAGTTATTTTTGAAGACTGAATTTGATCATTGGTTTTGTTTTTTTTTTTATTTTGTTTCTTGGAAAATGAATTGATGTATTTGATTTTTTGTTATTTATCCTATATGAAAAAAATTAAACATTTGAAGAGTAAATGGATTTTTGGTAATTTGAAAAGTGCTGTGTTTTCTTCAATTATTGCTGAGCCCTAATGAAAAATATTGCTTGTATAATTGATGTTGTTTTCTATTCGGAACGATACAACAATCATCTCTTTCTGCTTCTTTCCAAGTTGAATTACATCTTCTCGTGCTCCTTCGTAAATTTTTCTTATTTTTCAGGCAGCGTTTCATCTTCCATCGACTTACTTCTGTTTTTTCTGCATAGTCAGGATTTTTTCCGATGCCCTTTGAGCTTGCTCTGGAAGCACTTATTCCTCAAACCATCGTAGAATATATCTTCTTCCCCAATCAATATACAAACCTCGCCCTGTTGTATACGATGATTGATGTCCCGACTTTGCTGAAAATATTTGAACTATGATGAAGATATATGAACTTCCAGACGAAGTTGTGTCTAGAGCCGCACTACCGTTTATATACTGGTGATAGCGCTCTGATGCGACAGCAAAACTTCTCCCCTGATCCTATTCTTCGACAATGTACCCCTGTAACCTCGGGTAAGCCGCGAATATTCTGCCCAACTTCTATTAGGCCTAAGGGGCCTCATAGCCTAGTCAGTAAAGGCGCGGTATTACCAAGCCGGAGGCGGCGGGTTCGATTCCCGGTCCGGTCGAGGGAATCTTTCGGGTTGGAAATTTTCTCGACTTCCCTGGGCATAGAGTATCATTGTGCTTGCTACACAATACACAAATTCATGCTTTGGTATTGGCATCGAAAGCTCTCAATTAATAACTGTGGAAGTGCATTTAGAACACTAAGTTGAGAGCACGCAATAAGCTAATATGCGCTAAGCAATAAGCTTGAAATGCGAATAAGAAGAAGAAAGTCTATTAGACCTAGAATATAGTAAAAAAATTTACGAAACGATAAGTTATCGGCTCCGAAAAGCTAGTGCGATTGAGCCTTTCAAATAAACGAATTAATGAAATATTTATATATGTATATGAACTTTGCTTATGTTTTGGAACGTCTCCGTAATTTTTGAAACTTCGCTGAAGTTTTTGGAAATATCCTGAAATCTCGCAGCTTATCTCGAATTTACGGAACTATTCAAAAAAATCAGAGAAGTTTCGAGAAAGTTAAAAAAAAATCAGGGCTGTTCCAAAAACATCAGCAAAGTTCAAACAGTCAACTCTCTCTAACTCTATGGAAATCCAAGCTACGCCAACCACTCGTCCTATACGAATTTCCCAAATGTACCTCCGTAACTCATTGATCCCTTAAATTTAGACGTAGGGCGAGTTGACTGTATAACTTCACCAAGTTCAAATAATGTTACACTGAGACAAATAAACTTAAGAATTTCATAAGACTCGACTTATGAACGACACATATGAATGTCATAAGTGTGACTTATGAATGATTTTTATCTAACATGAGGTAGCTCTCATACGCCTTTAACCATTTAATTATCCCAAGCATTGAAAGACGAATGGTCAACACACGGGCCCCGTAATCTCAACGTCCATGGTTCGGATCCAGTCTGTTCTGTTTCATTAATTCGTTGTCAACATTTTTCATAAGGCAAATTATTGAAATTCATACCGATTTCTTGTGGCTAAAATTCATAAGTGGTTTTTATGGAATTCTTACATTCTTTTGCCTCAGTGTAGCAAAGCTCCAAGAATTTCAGACCAAATCAAAATTGAGTCGAGTCGATTCACTTTCGGCAAAAGTTGATTTACTCAAAAGTGAGTTGAATTTTCCGGGTTTTTCCAGGAAAATCTTCTCGAACATGAGAACAATAAATATAGGTTTTACTCCGTCTGTTAGTATACTCTTAGACTGAGTGAAATTTCCATGGATTTTCCTTATTTTCGAGAAGGTTTTCCTTGTTTTCCACGGCATTTTCCAGTAAAATTCTACTCACTTTTGATTAAATGCACTTATGCAGGGCTGGTAGCAGGTCACTTTTTAGTGACTTGGTCACTATTTTGAAGCCAGTCACTAAAAGCCACTTTTTACACCAAAAAGTCACTAAAGTCACTATTTCCCTAACAATAGTCACTAAAGTCACTTTTTCACTACTAAAATAAAGTGAAATTTAAAAATATCAACAAAATGTTTAAATTGAGTACTTGGCACTGAGACAGTCTACAGTTGTTTTAACAAAATATACATATCTGTTAAATTTAAAATTTTAACCAGGGTGACCAGTGAACCGCAACACTTTAGAGCACCAGGAAAACTATTGGGAATTGGGAAATGCCTTCAATTTCGATTAAAGGTATGTGATAGATTTTCAATGGATGATTAAGAACTTTAAAAAAATCCAAAGTAAATTTTAAGAGAATTTTAAAGGATTCTAGGGATGTCACCAAGATATATCAGAGGAGAATACCAAAGTACAGACTACGAAAGTCTCATGTAAAATTAAGTGTTCTGAGGACTGATTTCTTCATCTCTGCTTAAATCTTAAGCCAGGTTTGCCTATATGTATAGTTAAACTTGGCTTAACACATACGAGCGTCGGTTTTGATTATTGTTTAAATTATTAGAGACGCAAAATTCAGCTCCGAAACAATTTTGGAAATAATTCCCCAATATAATTGAGAGTGCATTTAACGAGAGTTCTGAGAAGAATTCTATGATGATTTGATGAGCAATCCAGGTCCAATTCTAATAAGAATTGAGGAGGTTAGAAGGAAAGGGGTGTAAGTGATTTTGATCTATTCTCTTCATCGTTTTTCTCGTTTGATAGTCACAGCTTTATAAACAGATTTTGCGCTATTTCTGCCACGTAGTTTGACAAAAGAGGTTCTCATCTAGCATCCAGAATGGCACACGAATAAAGGAATGTGTTTGCAGCTGAATTATTAACGAAAGAGAAAGTCGATGAAGAGAATCGATCAAAGTCACTTACACCCCTTTCCCTCTAACCCCCACAATTCGAAATTAATTCTGAAATTCCAAGAAAATTCTAAAGATTTTAAAAATAAATTTCTATAATTCCAATGGAATCGAATTTTGAAGGTTCAATCTCAAAGAAGAGTTTCAAAGTTATTCTGTGACGGATTTTTGTTTTCAGAATTCTGAGGAAATACTATGGGAATTCTAAGGAAAGTACGAATTGAATTTCCAATTGAATGCAAGGAAGACGTCCAAGATTATTCTAAGCAGAAATTTATGAAATTATGGAAATTCTAAGGAGAATTCACTTAAATTATAAATAGATTTATGGAAGGGGCCTTCAGGGAGTTCCTAGAAGAATCAATACAAAATCGAAAGTTCCACTTTAACTAATCATGTGTTATTACTTCATGCGTGAATTTAACGGTATACAGAATTGGAGATGCTTGACGTCAAATATCAGACATAAAGTGGAGACAGATGAGGAGATTAAATTATAAAGTTGATAGTTCCGTTTTAGTACGGCAGTGTGAAAATTGTATATACAAAGTAGAAAGCGAGCGAGCAAAGGACAATTTTGAGGAAGGCACGAATCGGGTAATTGTTTACTTCAGATATCGACTTGAGTTTGAAACAATAGATATAACTGTTTCCGCACATCGGAGGTACATGAGCAAATCGGCGATCATCCCTTTTGCCAGTGATGGCAGGGGGAAACACCCCTCACCATTCCTCATTAACGGATGAGCTTGGTAAAGGAGATGCTCTATCCGATTTGTACCTTCCTCAAAATTGTCGTTTGTTTGCTTTCTACTTTCTATATACAAATTTCACACTGCCATACTATAACGGAACTATCAACTCTTTACTTTCATCTCCTCATCCATCGTCTAAAGTGTCCATTTTAATTCTGATATTGTATGTTAAGCATTTCCAACTACGAAAATAATCTATTTCCAAGAACTTTGTTGATTGTTCTGCAAAAAATTCAAGAATGCAGTATTATTTTTGTAAAATCTTATTTGCCTCTAAATTTAAGAGAAGGGGAATTACTACAAAAAAGTTCTTGAGATCATTCTGAAGAAATTCTGAGAAAAATTCATAGCGAATTATCAAAGTTATCTTAAAAAGATTAAAAGATCTCAAACGCAGAATCAAATACAAGATCATAAAAAAATGGAAATTACTATTTGCTAGTCATCATATATAACGTAAGCAAAAGTAAATTATTCAAATCACTTCAAATGCTCTTCACAGGAGATTCCGTTGTGAGCTTCGATTAAATTAGAGGAATTTATGAAATTTGATTTTAAGTTCCATGACATAAAAAATTTATTTCAATAATAAACCGTATTTGAATTTCTAAGTTACCATATAAATGGTTACTTATTTAGTATTTAAAAGTCACTATTTGGTCACTATTTCCGTAATTTTAGTCACTAAAGTCACTACTATTATATAGCATCAGCACTACCAGCCCTGCTTATGTCGAAATTGAGTCGACTCGGCTCAATTTTGAGTCGGTCTGAACGACCATGCAAGTAACATTTTTGGTTTTATAATTATATTTTTTACCATGATTTAGACTTGTACAATACTGTAGAACATCGATAAAACTTGCAATTTTATTTGGGATGACTGGTTGGCTGAATACGTTTCTTTTAATTTCGTGAGCTTCATGGTGCTCAATTACATACATGGGAAGTTTTTCAGTTAATTATTATCAAAATTTGTCATTCAATAATTTCATACATTTTTTCCAATGGCAAAAAAGTTGCTTAAATCTCTTGAGCAATGCTTGGAACACTTTTCGAAATTACCTTGGAGTTTTCCTCAAAATTCTTTGAAAAAAATCCCGTAAAATTCTTTTGGACATATCATCGGAATTCAATTTCCATGGAACTGATAAGAATTCCAAGGAAATTTTCTTTGTAACTCAGAGTTCCGAACTCTCTTCAAAAATCCATTGCAACACTCCTCGGAATCGCCTTGAACTCTGATCTGAATTTTATTGAAACCTTCCTCAAAATTCCTTTGAAACTATCCTCAGATTCCTCAGAATTTCCTCAGATCTCTCTGCTGAATTTCCTGGGAGTTCGTTTGAAATAATCATCAGAATTTCCTTTCGATTCTCTGCACAAATGGTCATCAAAATACGCTTAGAATTCACCAAAAATTCTTCTCGATTTGCCCATAAAATTAACCAAAGAATCACCTTAGAATTTTACTCGGAACTGCTTCAACATTTTTCTTGATTTTTTTTTTCTCAGAATGGCGTTGGAATTCAAGTCATAACTTCCTTTTGGAAATCTGCCCAGATCTCCCTTGGAATTCAACTCAGATTTAACATGGAATTTTAGCCCTTATAATTACTTATAATAACATAGAAATTCTCCCTAAAATTCCCTAGGAATCGCCATTGGAATTTGATTGGAATTATCTTAAAAATTGCTTTGAAATTCTCATCATAATTCTCTAGAAAAAATTGCATTGTTAAGATTTTAAAAATTGTTCGCAAAGCCTTAAACATTTGTCAAAATTCTGACATTTTGAGTATATCTCTGTCTCATATCTCAAATCACATCTCTGAAAGTCTCGATAAAGAAAACTGAACCTCGATTTCACACATCAACCAGGTCAAATTAAACCTCCCAAAAACTATCTACGCATTTTGTGAGGAATCTATGACAAAAGGTAGGTCGAAGGACAAACAGTCGAATTGAACTTAGGGGAAAGAAAGGTCGAATTGATAAAAAATCGAACTGACAATTGGTCGAATGGAGAAAAAGGTTGAGTAGACAAAAAGGTTGAGTGAACAAAAGGTCGAATTGAACTTAGAGGGACCTTTTGTCTGAAGGGCAAAATATCGAATGGACAAAAGGGTGAATTGAACTTAGAGGGATATAAGACGAAATGACAGAAGGTCAAATTTAACATAGAGGGACAAAATATCGAATGGACAAAAGGTCGAAATGGACAAAAAGTCATAATGGACAAAAACTCGGAATGGATCTAACTTCAAATAACCAAAATCAATATTTGACAAATTTCAATAATTGACAAAATATTGTTTAAGAAATCTTTGCTCAGATTTTAAAAGAACTTTAAAAAATACTAGGGGCTGTGTATGTACTAAATGGCTCTAATGTTGTCTTATGGATCTATGATTGGGCCCATCGCTAAAAAATTTGCTATTTATCAATTTTATCTAAATGAACGCGTCATTGGGACGGTACTAATGGATATTTTTGGACGTTATTGAAAATGTGCTGAATTTATGTATGGACCCAAATTAGAGGCAATTAGGCCGACATTACATTCATTTCCCCTATGCAAATACTTCCAATGAATTGCTCCTGATTTAAAGAACGAAATATATTTGAGAGTTTGCCACCCAACAACATTTTGACAGTTTATCCATTTAGACCATTTGTCCATTCGACCTTGTGTCCATTTTCGACCTTATGTTCATTTCAACCTTTTGTCCACTTCGTTTCTTCTTCTTTCGACCTTATGTCTATCTAAGTTCAATTTGACCTTTTGTCGCTTCGACCTTTTGTCCCTTCTACATTTTGTCCCTTCGACCTTTTCTCCATTCGACCTTTTGTCCCTTTATGTTCTATTTGACCTTTTGTCTTTTCGAACGTTTGTCTTTTGACATTCTGTACTTAGATCTTCTGTCCTTCAACCTTCTGTCCTTCGACCATCTGTCCTTCGACCTTCTGTCCTTCGACCAGTTTGGAGACAGCCCTCTAAAACTCTACGTTACTCTAGAGGTCACCAATATGCCTATATGCAATGTACGGTTGTCGTATGGCTAACATAGAGCCTACAAAAACTTATTCCTTTATTTAACGTCGGTCTCTGTTACGCAATCTAGTGCCAATCACCGACGGACATCGATTGCCATCCATTGACGGGCAATCGAATGTGCAGAAAGGCAGCTTCCATTCCGAAGTTGGAAGACGTGACCAGAGATTTGTATGCCTCAGAAAAATCCCACCGACCTCGGCTGGGATTAAACCCAGACCCATTGGGGTGAGAAAGCAGTCACGCTTACCACTACACTACCGGTGCCGGCTCCCACAATTTTTTTCAAAAAATTAAGTTAGCGATGTAAAGAAGGTTTGGCCTCGCGGAGGTCGACATTCCTTGTTCGAGTGATATTATAAACTTTCCCTTAAGGGGAAGCTCACCGCTCCGAAAAAAATAATTACGTTTTGATTTTTCTAAAAGTATTGGAAAAAGATATCAAAAATCTAAACAAAAATCACATTTTGTCTAATTTTTCACAGAAAATTCACGTGCAAAAACATTTTGTATGAGTTATTATGGCATAAAGTTGGACTCGAAAAACCGCAAAACATCGACTTTTCGGTTTTGCTGAGAGTCCAATTTTTTTTCATGATGAGATAGAAAAAATATTTTTACCTGTAATTTTTAAAAAAAATCTAGGGAAGAAACTGATATTTTTTTCCCATTTTTTTTTATTTTCGGGCCGGTAAGCTTCCCCTTAACGGGCAAAAGCACACTCACTGTTCCACAATCACAATCGATCAGACTCGACCATCTCCAATTTGCATGAAAATTTGCATAAGCGTGATTACCTCTCACCCCAGCAGGCCTGAGTTCAATCCCAGTCGGCGCCGCCGGGATGTTCTGAGGCATAACATCTCTGATCACGCCTTCCTTCGGATGGGAAGTAAAGCCGTTGGTCCCCGGTTCATGAGTTGATGGGTCGATAGGTAGGGTCCAGGTGTGGGAGCTGCCTTCCTGGCACGTCGGTAGCATTGGTGCTCAGCAACGGAAAACAAGATCGACGGAAAAAACAAACCAAAGGAAAAAAAAAATCATTCACATTTGTGCTAAATTCGGCCATTTTGAAACGCCACTTCTAATCAAAATGACGTCTGAGGTAAAAGGGAAAAGTTAAGTCTTCTTAAGAAAAAATCGAAGAAAGTGTAAAAGAATTGCCTATCAAAAAATTTGCTTGTTCAAAATTTATGATTTTTTTTAAATGTTAATGAAAAATGCATCATGTATATCATGGTTTTCAATATTCCATAAATTTGTATTTTTCATGAACTGTTTGTTAAAAATAAAAAAAAAAATATTTCTTTGTTGTTTAATTTTTTAACAATTTTTATTTATTTATTTTTTTCTTTTGATTATTTAAAAAAATATCGTGCCTATTTTTTCTATAACGAATTTTCCCTGCAACTTTGTCACAGACTTTTTTTTACTAGAAGTAATGTTTTCGCGCTACAATTTATTAAAAAATGTCGAACGCCACTTTGAAAAAAATAAAAACAGGAATGAGAATGATTGAACAAACAATTATACAAAGTTTCATTCCAATCGGAGAAGGTCAAGCCAAACATAATTTTGGTTTTGCTATCTGGCGTGGAACTGCTTGACCGTCATTAACAACCACCATCAGCGAATTAACCTTTCTCATATGAAAACCACTAATCCTTTTACATCGCTTCGACAGCATCCATTATAACGGTGTAATCCCTGAAGTCTCCCTACCCTCAAAGGGGGGTTCCATTACCGAGTATTCAAAAGTCACAGTTCCCCCCGGTTAACCTCGCTAAGTAATCCCATCGACGACGAAGACGAACGACAGCGGGCTTCCATCACTGAGTAATGTTTTAAAACCTGTCATAAACTCGTTCAACCCCAAGCGACATTTCCATCAAAGCCCCGGCCCGGCCACCTGGTCCCTTTCCTCGAACCTACTAAATCCCATTTCCACGTGGCATCGAGGCCTTGTGGCATTGTGATTTACTTTGTGTTTGCCATCTAATTTCAAATCTGTGTTGCCCCATCAAACCAAAGCCATTTTAAACCAAACAAACAGTTCAATACCGAGCCCCTTCCCCTCCGGTTCCGGAATGTGGAAATGGTGGGAAATGTTCGGGAAAGAGAGTGCTTTTCGCCAAAAGCAGATGGTTAAAAGCCACTCTCGTGGCTGGACTGAACAATTTATTTTATTACTCTGTTGCCCTGGTTTGGAGTTGATGAAAGAGGGGTGGGTGAGCGAGTTATGGAAAAGCTGTTTAAAACCCATCTATGGATCGTTCAAAGGTACTTTACGGTGGGACTCTGTTTTTGATGTCTGCTTGTAAATATTGAACGTATGTGTAGGTGTATTAATAACAACTTCAGAATAAGAGTGTGCCGCTCTCTATCATTAGCTTCGTAATGACTGTTTTAACCCAGCGCAGCATCAGCGGGAGCGAGTCGGTAGTGATCCTTCCCATGACGACGTAAGTCTTCTATTAATTAATTAGCGTCGGCAACCCCCGATTCGGGGTCCGGGTGGGAGTCAGTATCCCGATAGCATCAATTTTAGTCTTCTTCACCCGTTTAATTGAGGTTTCCCGCACCGCTGCTGGTAGAACCCTTGGAGAATCTTTTCACTCTGACAGCATTAATTAATTGATAGCGTTTGTAGACGAGGTCTTATGTTGCCCTGTTGCCTCTTATTCACTGCAAACAAATTGCGAAACATTTTAAAACAATTTCACCATTCGTTTCTGTAGGTTACCGCCTGTCGATGGGCGCCTGGCCGTGGTTAGGAGCAACGGCTGCCACCATGGGAGCAACGGGAGCCCAACAAGCGGCCCTCACCGCCGCACCAAATTCAGCCGCTGCCGCCGCAGCCGCAGCAGCAGCTGCCGCAACATCGAACCATCAGGCGGCGGCCGCCGCAGCAGCAGCCGCAGCTAATCAACCAATGAACGCGGCCGCCGCAGCCGCAGCAGCCGCCTCACCACTGTTGATGGCCCAGGCGGCCCAGAGGGCTGCGGTCGCCGCCCAGCGGCGAAGGTGAGTACTAGTGCACTTTTTAAAACCATTCCACAACAGAATCGCGACGAAGTTGCTCTCGAATGGCTTTCCTCTCAACGAAATTGACAATACTTTGCACTGCAAAGCATGTGAATTTCGCAAAAAATCTCAAAACTTTCCGCTTTTAGAAAGAATTCAAAAGAAAAGTTTATGTACTCTTAACCAACCGATTCTAAAAGCACACATACATTTAGGAGCAACTCAACCCTAGGAAAACATTCAAAATAACAAAATTCCGACCACAATTTCGGAAGGAAGTGCGGAGTCTCTGTGAAAGGGGGCGGAGAGAGTCAACAAGCGGAAGAAAACTTTTCATTTCCACACATCCGGAACGATACAGTCGACGCGGGGGGCAGTGGCTAAAATGGTCCTATCCGCGATTTGGATAGTGCTTTGCTGAAAGTCTCCCTAGCAAAGACAACCAAGCCACCAACCGGTGCTTTGTTGGTTTTCACTGGATCTGTTTCGAATATATGATTCGCACGGAACATAGCTAATCCCGTGCTCTGCTTGAAATGTGCTCACGATCCAGTGTTGTAGTCGGGAATAAGTGAGAACACGAAACAATTCCGATAGAAGTTGCTTCGAGTTTAGGGTTTTGCGTAGATTTTAGATACACAGCAAAAAATTTATTTTAATATTACATCCAAGAGGATGCACTTCAATCATGTCGAAAAATTACCATGTAATTTTTATGATCACAAAAATAAACAGATGCAGTAAAAGCAGTGCAATGTCAGTTCATGCACTGTATTAATGATAATTTTGTCCTTGTTGGCAAGTAATATTACACCGTATTTTTGAAACGATTGAAGTGCATCCACTGTGATGTGATAACTTTATTATTTTTTTGCTGTTTATGATCAAAATATAAGCATTGGCAAATTTTTCAATTACCTTACGTTTTTAAAACTTTTTTGAACATCGTCGAAATTATAAAAATCTCGAACTCGGGTCACACAAACTTAAAATCCTCATTTTTTGCATAAATGTTCACATATTTTGGACTTAGTCTCTTGGAGATCTCCAGAATATCAAGAGAACTTTATTGAAATCTTTGATCAGCTAGAATATTTTAGGAATAATTCCTGATCAAGGAGCCATCTTAGCTGGGAGTTGAGAGATGTCATTTGAATATTTATACAGTTGGAAATCTTCAGAATATTACCAGATCAACCTGAAGTCTTGATCCCTGATAACTAGAAGTCTTGCAAGAATATTCAGTGGAATTTATTGAAATCTTCGGCCGTTTGGAGGATTTTTAAGTAATTTATAATCAACCTGCGATTTTGAGAGAGTATTTGAATGACATCATTCAAATTTATAACCATTTGAAGATCTTCAATATAATCCTCGATCAACCTGAACTCTTGAAGGAATATCCAGAATACCTTATTGATATGTAAGATTAGTTGGTGGTCTTACTAATAATCCCTAATAACTAAAAGTCTTGCAAGAATATTCAGAAGAATTTATTGAAATCTTCGGCAGTTTGGAGAATTTTTTAATAATTCCTGATGAACCTGCGATTTGTAGAGAGTATTTGAATGACATCATTCGAATTTATAATCATTTGATGATCTTCAGAATAATCCCCGATCAACCTGAAGTCTTGAAAGAATGTCCAGAGGAATTTATTGAAATCTTCATCCGTTTGGAGGATTTTGGAATAATCCTGATAAACCTACGATTTTGAGAGAATATCTGAATGACGTCATTTGAATGTTTAATCACTTGAAGATCTTCAGAATAATACCTGATCAATTTTGATTAGTCCTGTCGCATTAATGGCCCTTCGTTCATTTTCAACTTCTGTTCAATTCTCACACTGCCGTACTCTAGCGGAACTATCAATCTATCCTCTTCAGAACTTTATCTAGTTAATAAATTATCACACTAATACTCCGTTCACATTACAGCCTATATCACGTAATATAGGCTGTCTTGCAATGAGCACTCACACATAGGATTTCCAGTGAAAACTAGACGTATGAGTGCTCATTGCAAGACAGCGTATATCACGTGATGTACGCTGTAATGTGAACGGGGCATAAATCTTCAAGTATTGCATTTCCAACGAACTATGAAAATCGTTAGTCGATTGCTGAATTTATGTATGGGTCCAAATTAGGGGCATTTAGGCCGACATTAAATCCATTTCCCCTATATTTTTTGAAAAAATTCCATAAAAATGCTAAAAACTATTTTTTTTTTTGAAAATTTCAAGTTGCACACTTCAAAAATATAAAAAATTATAGAACAACAAAATTCGGTCAAATGTTTGAACTTTTAGCTTTGTTTTGGAAAATTTTGTACCGAAAAGAATTTTGCAATCTGTGCAAGATTTTACAATAAAAAATATAAAGATAAAGTTCAAAAATTTGTACAAAAGTTGCGATTTATGTTAATTAAAAATTGATCGTCTTGAAAATTTTGCAGAACATAGGAACAGGATATTTTTTGTTATTTAAGTTTTAAACACTTTTATGTTTTTTTACGCAAAATTACTTGATTATTTTTACCGTGTATATTTAACATGAACTCGAATAATATTATCCTACAACTTTATCTCAGATGTCATTTCGATTGGAAGTAACGTTTTCGAGTTATGATTTATTGAAAAAAATAGATTTTTGCAATATTAAAGGTGGCCAAATTTTAGCTCAAATGTAAATGATTTACCATAACAAACAATAATGGAAAGTTTCATGCAAACCGGAGAACGTCACGTCAGATCGATTCGTCATTTGGTGTGGAATTGCCCTGTAGCGATATTGCATTTATGAAGATCGACCATTTCATATTGAATAAGCCAGTTTGAAAATCTACTGTCATCTTGAATCCACCATTTTAAAAATATTCCATCATATTCGAATTTAAATTTTCATTGCAATAGTACACACTTTGAAATAACTATTTTTACATGAGACGTAATCCATCTTTGACGTAAATTATGGAACGTAAACAAACATGTTATGTAAAATTAAGTGTTCCCAAACCGAAAAATACGCAGCTCGACGAAAAGTACGCTGGATTGCATTAATTTTCACGTTTCTTTCAACTAATTCTTATGTCATTTGCGCCGCTTGCATGTGTCGGTCTCAGAGCACGGAAATTTACATGACTTTCTCGTAGTGTGTAGAGTTGGATGTATACCACAATATTACAGTTCGGAAGATGGGCAATAGACTGATGCAAAATGTAAAATTTTCGCTCCACAGTGCTCTTAAAATTGGAACTACTTTAGTAAGAAACTGACTTGGCACAAACCATTTCAAGTTTATGTGGGAATTACTATGGGAAAAGTTATGTTTTTGTTCATATCTATCTGACAATTCACCACATCACTATGCTTTTAAAAATGATAGCAGTGATTGTAGCAAATTTGTTCAGCTACAACTTTGTTGAAAACCATTTTTCAATCAAATGTAAGGAACAAAAGTTATGAATGATTCAAGTCACTGATGTCTTATGATTATGATCATTCAACTGTTCAGCAGGCAACATTGGTGTTTTTGGTGCGAAGAATAGAGCACAAATATCATGGCTACTATGTCACACTGCAGAATACAGTGTTGCCCACAGAACAGCTGCTTGATCATGCCATAAGATTATCAATCTCTTAAGCAATTAATAGCAATTTAATTTGACATTTGGATGAAAAACAATATTCAGCAAAGTAGTAGCTTAGAAAATTTCTCGTAAGAATAGTTATAGAATTTTTCGAAAAAGCAATGTGGAAAATGGGTAGAAGACAATGAACAAAAAGTTTGGTTTTCCCATAGTAATTTCCATACAAACTTCGAATAGTTTGTGCCAAGTCAATTTCTTACCAAATGAGTTTAAATTTTGGGAGCCTAATCAGGACCTGATTTGAAACCGTTTGAGGACTATGGAGCGAAAATTTCAAATTTTGCATCAGTCTAATGGGCAACTTCATCAAAGATCCTTCTTTTTTAATCCGCCATGGTGGATGGTCTTCAACACCATCTTGGAATTGAAATAGTCCCTGTAGTAGCAGAATTATCATCTTCAATTATATTGCATTTATGAAGATCACCCATTTGGTCAACTACCCGCAATCTTGAATTCATCATTTTGAAAATCATCCACCATCTTGGAATTAAAATCGGCATTTGCAATAGCAGATTTTCGTCACTATACAACAATATTGCATTCAGGAAGATTGCCCATTTTATCAAAAACCTGCTATCTTGAAAATCTTGTATCGTCTTAAATCCACCGTTTTGAAGATCATCCACCATCTTGCTTTCAAAAAGATCGACGATATTTTCAAATATCCGCCATATTGAAACCTCCATTCCGCATACCATGCGCCATCATGGATTTGAATTTTACATTGCATTATCGTTTGCGTTTAGAGAGATTGACCTTTTTTTTTTCTTCAAATATCCGCCATTTTGAAACCAATATTTGGAAAATCATCCGTCATCTTCGAATTAAAATTGTCATTTCAATAGAGCAGCTCAAGACCAAATGACGAATCGATCAGACTCTATTTGCATGAGACTATGCAAAGTTGTTTTTTAAGGGCAATCACACTTAGATTATTTTACAGGAGTCAGTATTTTGTACTGGGTTTTTGAATTGCTGAAAAAGTCGGTAAAAATTCAAATGACCGTTATCCGTAAGGAATCCAAGTCCAAGATCATGAAATCTTTTCTGTGTTTCGGAAGCATTTAAATGTTTCTAGGTCTGTAAACTTACATTCTAACATATCGAAAATTATTCCAGGCTTTCTTAATTTGTTTGTATGAGAGATTGCTAATTTCTAAGTCCAAGGATTTAAAAAAAAATCCTACCTACCTGAGTACCTAATGGGCGACGACTTGTTGAATTCAAATCTGCGCCGAACGAAGTAACCGTCTCCATTGGTCTCGGTCCTGAGCCAATCGCTTCCAGGCGCCTTGGACGTTCAAGGACCTTATGTCCTCCTCAACTGCACAAAGCCAACGCGT